GAGAGATTATATGGGCCTTGTTCAATTGATATTTTTAAGTATTTAAATGCACTATAATTACTTTATTCGAGCTTAGTTGGAGTTTAAATTGATGGCTTTTGGTATCTTTAGGTTTGTCTTGTTAAGGCATTCATCTTGACTGTAAGTTTGTTATAATTAGACTTTGGATGTATCTGTGTATGTTTCTGCAAATTTTAAACTCGAAGAGGCATCAAGATGATTGGGTGAATTTCTTGATGGTATATAAATTGAAACATAACATACTAATGCAAGTTTATAGGCAGGATAAAAAATTATCTCTATTAGGATTTACAATCGAAAAAATAATAATAAAATTGTGATTTGGATCTTGATTTGGGGTGAATGAGGGTGCATTTGGGGCGGCTTTTCTGCTACTTTATGTTTTGGAAGTTGCTGCGCTGATGTTTAGAAGCCCCTTTTTAACCGATTTATCTTAAATCGCGATAATACCTTTGCTTCTTTGTGCCTTCTCCGATCTCCGCTGCAAGCATCATGTTTGGGGTTTCAATGGCATATTAGTTGAGCAGATATTCTCAGTTGTCTTCCTGCTTTCGACTCGAACATACGTATCTCTTTGATTCCTTTTAATTTTGGTAATAAGAAGCTTTTTTATAGTTTATTTTCTAATTTTCTTCTTTGTTGTCATATTTTTGGAAGCCAGTCTTCACTGTATAAGGACATTTTTTATTGTTAATTTATGATCGCATTCTATGCTATTTTAGGTTTTGCATAAGATGGGCTGTAGGACTTTGACTTATAGAATTTATTGCTAGAAACCAATCACAAAGCTACATATAGATTCTCCAAGCTCTTCGTGCATTCACAATAATGTTTGCAAACTCTTCTATAGCTTGTGTGTTGGTGAATTACGAAATACGGACTTGCTTTAACTTAATAAAAGATGTTATCACACAAAGTGTCAAATTATTGAACTAACAAAAGGGAACTCCTTAAGAGTAATAAAGAAAATATGATAATTCAATATGTCACTAAAACTCAACAAACAAAACACTGATTTTAATAAAGCTATGTGATTGATGGTGCAACCTCATCTATAAGACTCCAAACCAAAAATCTCAAACTTCTTCATTGATTCAGCCTCTATTATCTCTTTGGAGAATACATTCTTCAGTTGTTGCTTCATTTTGTCATAATTTGTCTCCTTCTCAACTTCTAAGCAGAGGGTGATAAAACTTTGTTGTGTGGATAATATGTTTCATCCTCCTCTCTTAGAGTAAAAGACAAGGCTCTCATCTTTATAGCGACTAACATCCTTTTAACTCATCACTAGTTTTGAAGAATCATATGACATTTTCACATGTGTTGTTACTCTTTGTATGTATTCTAGCACCTCTTGTATCATTATTATCATTTATTTCATAAGCTTGTTCATTTGTCAAACCACAAAATCTACGACGCATTCAATGTTCACTAAATTCTTCTTGTTACTAGGTTCTATGCCATGAAAAGTTCATCTTATAATTTATGAAATGTTCCAAAAGAATAACACTTTTCAAAAAGTTTGTCCTGATTTGTCTATGGATGCCATCACCTAGGTAAGAAGTGTAGAAAAAAGAGAGCTAGAGAACAGAGAGAAAAAAAAAAAAAGTTCTAGTTCTATGTATGTTATTAAATAAAGAAGTGATCACATAAAGTTTCCTCTTGTATTCCCTGAGACCATTTATCTTATTTATAGGTTTGGGTCAGTTTAGGGTACACTACATTAATTGACATATAGATAGCAACAAAAAATATACATTTAAATAGTCAAAATAGCAGGACATGTAGTCTGATTACTTGTTTTTTAAATGTTTTGATGGGCTTAATAACAGTTGATAAAGTAGGGCTGGCTAGCTAGGTTATTTTGTTAAATTGATTGGCCGAGAGATCGACTGAAATGACTAGTAAAGTTGTTTCTTTAAATTGTGTATGTAGATTCAGACTACTGAGTCTATAGAAGTCAGCTCACCACTTAACTTGGACCCAATCTCAGAGAACCTTGATGTACAATTATAAACTAAATAATGACTTAACCCACCTCATTAATAAGCATTGAATTAGGCTTCATTTGAGATGAATTTTTAATTAACAACCAAGAATAATAAATAAAAAAGCGATCATCAAGATAATAAAATTTTAATAAATTTTTAAAAATTATACCGTAATAAATATTATGGCTATAAAAGTAACTTACAAAAGCAGAAAAATACAAACCCTAATTTTCAAATGGAAAAATAATATAAAATAAAATAAGATGACATTTCCCAATATTAAACTAATTGTACTCTAGGAGCTACCAAGTCATTATCATCCAAGAAGGCCCCCCAACATTTTATAATTGAAGTACAAGGCAATCTAACACCAAATAATCCCCTCTTATTCTACTTTTTGATGGCAAAAGTGTCTTCTAGGCAAGGTTTCTTGTAGGGTCAGTCAATCATAATGTACATCTTCCTTGCTTAAGTCGTTGGAAATATGTGGGTTTGTGTTGAAAAACTCCTATTTAAGAAATAGTTTAGCTTGGGTTTTAGGTGCACCAAATTGGTGGTTTGAACTTATTGTCAGCATCCCCCTTCTTACAAGAAATGAGAAAGACGGTGCAAAAAAAAAAAAAAAAAAAAAAATAAAATTAAATTTTATATTTACATATTTGCCATTTTAAAAATAAATATTAGTTGTGTTTTTGATGTGATATTAAATATTTGGGTATAATAGAAAATATGCAAATTTGGGTGCTACATATGTAAAAATTGTGGGGTATTTGTGTAAATGCTGAAGTTGTAGTATATTCTGAAAATATTTGGGATTGTAATTCTCTAAAATTTCATGTCCACCATTTCAAATTGTTTACTATTTATTTACAAATAGGTAGGACGTAATCTTTTAATTTGATATTTAATTATTACGAAAATGACATTCGATGATGCAGTCAAATAACGAAATGTTATTTAAAAATACAGAACCTGAAGATGCAATATAAGTAGATTAATAAGAATATGCTATATTTGTCGCATATGCTATTAATCTTCTTGGAGCCATATATTAATGTTGGTTGATGCACTAGCCACGTTTCTTTTTTTTTTTTTTTTATATCTTATAAGTGATGCGTGCGAGAAAATTCGTTGCAGTGGAGTAATGGATTATCGTCTCAGCGTTGCACGAGAGTTCAGCACATACTCAGGTAAAAGAAAACGACTACTAATGACATCAGAAGTTTTTACATGGAAAAGCTGTAAAGGGGGAAAAACCGCGGAGTTTGACCTTGTTGTAAAATTTACTATATGTTGATGATTACATAGCCCATTGCCCCACATAAGAGAAAAGAGTTATTAGGTTTTCTTAACTACACATCAACTGCAGCTTCTCGTTGGTAGTGGTTGACGGTGATTGGTGGTAATTGACGGCGCGGTCAACGGTGGTCGATGACAGTCGGTGGTGGTTGAGGGCGACAATAGTGCTCAAAAGCTGTTGGTGGTTGTCAATGAAGATCAACAGTGGTTGACGGGAATCACCGGTGGTCGACGGCGACAGGGGCGGTGCTGGACTTCAACTTCTTCTCAAAGTTTTAAGTTATCTTTAGGTCTCAATCCTATTTCTCATGAGAGGGGTGGGGATCTATTAATCGTGTTTTGGGTGCAAAATTAATGCAGTAATATGAATCACTTTGATTAGACGGTTCGGAGAGCTTCTTTCGATTAGACGGTGTTTGATGGACATTTTAGTGCCTTAATCATGTCAGAATTGAGTGATCTTGAGATCGTTGTTTTCTTCTTGTTGAGATTCTCGATTCGACTATGAACTCGTCGGATTCATCTGTTTAACCTTCCAAATGTGTTCGAAAATCTTTCAAGAGTGGTTGAATGAGTTGATATGAGTTTGATTTGACTCAGATTTGATTAATTTTCATATCATTGGGTCTGTCTCATCGAGCCTGTCAGTTTGACTATAAGTTTGTTGAGATTCGTGTCATACGAGATTCATGACAGATGATGAAAATTTATTGGTGGCATAACACCATATAAATTTTAAAAACATTAAATATCTAAGATTTTATAACATGTTAATTTTCATGTCTCCTCGAGATGATTATAATACTCTTTTTTTCTTTCAGAGCATTATGTCACGGACAAATAGTCTCACATCGGCTATGTGTAGAGCCGAAAAGCAGTATTTAAGTCCTGGGCTGTCCACCTCTCTTAAGGGCTCATTTGGGAGGTGACCAGTGGTATTAGAGCAGTTTACTGTCTGCCAGGTGTATGGACTCTCCATGGTCCAGTGGGACCCTCGGTGGAGTCGATCCTTGATGTGAGCGTCACGTGATTGGGTAGAGGAGAATGTCACAGACAAATAGTCCCACATCGACTAGGTGTATGGCCAAAAAACAGTATTTAAGTCCTGGGCTGCCCACCACCCATAAGAACTCTTTTGGGAGGTGACAATTAGCTGTTGTACTACTAATTAGCAGATGCAGTTTAGAATATTCCATAAATAATTTTCACTAAATATAGGATTTTTACATATTTTGTGTCAGATTTGTGTTGGAATTTTGATCCATGCAAAAATTGAGATAAAAAATGCAATTGAAGTAGAAAGTTTCTGACGTTAATTATTTGTGTCGGCTTCATCATCTGACAATCTCAAGGTTAACTAGATTCAACGTGCCCCACACCCAAGCAAATGTAAACTACAGAGTATGATTGTTCTTTTATATATATATATATATATATATATATATATATATAAAAACAAAAAAATTTTTTTATATATATATATATATATATATATATATATATATATGAACAATCGAATTTCTACAACCTGTAAGATCTCATAAATGTTTACTTAATTATCCACGAGCACAACATAAAATTTATGCACAAATAAATGCTAACAATGAAAACAGACATTAAACGAAATGCATGAAATCTCACATTTTACACATAATTTAAACAATTAATGATAATGTCTCATACAAAATAAGAAAAAAAGTACATAAACCCCTACGAAAGCATCATCATCAGGCTCAGCAGCATCCTCTCCCTCATCCTCGACCATAAATCTCAAGGGCCACTTGTCATGATCATCTACAATATATTTTGTTAGTTGTGCCAAAGCGTCTTCGGCTCTCTGGTCGCTCTCACGCAACTTACGGATCTCACTGCTCATAACATTGATGTGTCAGGCAAGCTCCTCATTGTTTGATATAATGACCTCGAATCGCCCAAAGGAGCACTAGAAAGCTCGGCCTCAAATGCAATTTTATTTGCCCCTGGGCTGTACACTCTCCCCTTCTTATTTCCCATCGCCAACCTTCAAATCTCAAAATCAGATGTGCAGTTGTAAACTGGCTACCGCTGCTGTTGACGGCTATCAGGATCTCTCTCTCTCTCCCTCTATGTGTGTCTCGAATATGCTCGTACTCCTACCACATATATAATTAGAACCAAGTACTAATTGAAATTTTAAATTAATAGAGTAACAATATGGAAAATCAATTTTTTTAGTTACATTAACACACCGAAAGAAGACAGATATCCACTATTGCGTCACTTGGCGCTGATGCATCCCGACGTGCAACTCTACAGCGGTGGATTGTCTGCCAAGCTTCTCAGCCTCTGGACACGAAAAAATAATCAGTACCATAAAGTTATGTCATTAGCTTGTCAAGAATTTAGTGAATCATACCAGCTTCTGGTAGTGCTCCGTTTGGGGGATCGAGCCTTCAAAGTTGAGTGTAGCACCCCTGAACCTCTTATTCCTCTTGTTCTGCTGCTTGGATTATCTCTTCCTCTAATAATTAGAAGAGGCTCGGGCCCTAGTCAACTGAACACAAACCTCCTCCCCTGCCTAGATGGGTCACTACTCTTTCCTATGAGATGTGGTGAACATATCACCTAGCTGATGCCTGCCCTGAACCTAAAAAAAATGTAGTGGATCAACCTGTGATGCTCCGGTAGACAGTGGATGGACCTCTGTAAATTAAAAATTATGCAATAGTTATTTTATAACAAAATATTTTAAAATTATAATTCTGATTCAAATAAAATGATCCTACCTCAAACTCCTGGAATCACATGTCACGAGTCGCTAACGGGATCTGCTTCCAAGAGAGACATGAATCATCATACATACTTGATGATCTATGTGATATGTCATACGTGTCATGGGCAGCATGTAAAAAACAATTTATGAGTCTCCCTTTGACTCAATCTATACTAGTACAGAGGTATCCTGTCTCAGCGGGGTTGGAGTAGAGGGGTCTGACTCATCAGAGGAGGACAGTGGTGGGTAAGTGGGTGAATGCAATGAAGTAGATCGGAACGGTGGCAAAAGGTGCAAACGAGGCTGCAGCGGTGGTGGTGGTGCCGCTAATCAACACCACAATAGTGATGTGTGAGATAGAATGAGATACTACAGGCCCATTAGGTGAGGTCGACAAGGTGGCTGATCTTTACTACCAACAGAAGTCATTTATCACAATAAGAAAAACATTAATAAAATTAGTACTAAACAATAAAAGTCAAAATAGCAAAAATATCTATGAAGGTATAATATCAACAGCAAAAATAAAAACAGAATAGTGTAAATCAAAATAAGAAACATTATGTTACTACATCTAAAAATCTAAAATGTAAAAGAAGGATGATGCAGAATTAAAAGAATAAAAAATCTAAACATACATACCACTTTTAATCAATTTCATTAGAGTTAGTCGGTGATGAACATAAAATTTCTTAGATTAAGACTTTGTTTTAGAATACAAAACAATCTAATAAATTCTTCCAAATATTTAAACAATTTAAATTTTAAAAATAAAAATTTACGAATCACCAAACAAATATATTTTTAAAATAAAAATTGAAAATTGATGTCAAATATTTACAATTAACCGTTATTTGGAACATGAAGATGGTTCAGTTTTCTCAAAAAAAAAAAAAAAAAACTTTTAAACTGTTGTTCGAAATTGAGGTCAACAGTTTTTTTTATTACCTTTGTGAATGCGACTGTTTGTATTTGGAGGAGATGATGATGGAAGGAAAGAGAATTACCTGATCATTGAAACCTGAGGAGCAGTAAGTACATCAAAGATATTCCATGCCCATCGCAACCCGAGGCGAAAGGCCACTAGTACAGTACCTGGACTCACGTGCAAGATAGAATATTAGAAATTTAACATTGTTTAGCCATAATATAATGCCTACGACAACTTAGGGGGGGGAGAGAGAGAGAGCAAGTAGGGGAAGGTTGGTTTTTTTCTCCGAAAGTTGCTTCATTTGGTGTAAGTTTTATATTACAGTGCTGATTTGTGGTTGGGGCTTGATACTATTTTAAACGCAGTGGTGGTTAAGAAAGGGGCTTTTATTTTTTAAATCCTTGGGATCGGTTTGTTCCCTTCCTGGGAGGATTTCTATCTGCAGATCGGCCATGGATTCACGCCTTCTTGCTCCCCACGAGCCGCACAGTAGGATCTTTCTCCCTTTTCTTCTATCTCTTGATCACTTATCTGCTATCTTTTTCTAATGAGTTTTTGAAATTTGAAACCTATTCTTCGCAATTAAGGAATATTTGTTGCAGGGTAATCTTCTCTTTCTCGGGTTTGCTGAAAGTTCCTTTTTTTTTTTGTAACTAGTTCGATTGGGGTGTCCTACCTTATCTGCTAGGACCTTCTCTGCTAGGGTTTTTGGTTATTATTTTGCCGCCGTTGACTAAATTGGTTTTGAACCGTTCGAGAAAAAGCACTTTTTGGCTTTAAAAAAAGACTGAATCGGATTTGAAAATGAAGCAAGTTGCGATTTTGATCTTTTTTCTGCGCCCCTTTTTGATGGTTTGAGTCAGTTGACTGATCACTTTCTATTGCTTCAAGCCAAGTTCTTGGAATTCAGATCTCGAAGAACCATTGTCTGGATGATTGAAGCTTATCTAGTTTCAGAGCAGCTGGAATAATTCTTAATTTTGTTTTCTTCTTTTTCATTTATCCGAGATTTTGATTCCAAAGTTTGCACTTTTGTTACTTTTTTTAGTTTATTGACAGTTTTTCATGTAATTTAATGAGGATTGCTTCACTTTGTCCATGATTGCTTTTCCCTTTTCACTGCAGATACTGAACTGTTTTGTCTAAGAAACTATTTGTTGACAGTAATGCTTTCTTTCGCCCTCTCTTTCATGGTTTCAGAATTATTCTGAATAAAACATGTTTATTAATAAATTATTTCCATCTTTTCTTTTCTTTTTTTACTGCTTTTTTATATTTTTCCATTTAATTTGATGATGATTGCTTCACTCTGTCTAGGGTTACTTTCTTTTTCATCAATACAAATAGCGAACTGCTTTTGTAGAAGAAACTATTTAATGACAGTAATGGTTCTTTCAGCCTCTCTCATTTTCTCCTACACAGTTTTCAGACTGTTCTGAATAAAACTTGCATATTAATTTAATTTCAATAGAGGGCTTTGAATTCATATTATTTCTTGTGTCAAAATTTCCTCTTACTTGTTTCCTGATGCAATTTCTTGCATTGTTGCAGCGAAAATGGTCATTTGTGAATCTTCTCCACTGCTCTTTTAACAGGAAGAAGAAACATTTGAATAATATTCTTCAAAAAATCATTACTCAATTCAGATCTCTGGTTTCTCCCAATTCAAGAAGACAAAAATGACAGTTTTTTACTCCAGCTCCACTAATCAGGAGGAGATCATGCCTAGCCTGTATCCCAGAGAACCGGCTCGCACAACATACCCTGAGATACCATTTCAAGCAAACATGGTGTATTTTCAACATTCATCTTCTGCTCCGTGTACCATGAATTCACACGACTCATCTGAAGAAGTGGCGGCCAACCATTTTGACGAAAACACATATAATTCTTGGAGGGAAGGAAGAAACAACACGTTAATGATGCAAACAAATGATGATTCACAATTGAGTATTCTAAGTGGCCACAACTTCTCTTTAAGTTCTTCAACTATGCAGGGCCAAGGGTTATCTCTCAGCCTTGGCACACAAGTTTCAGTGCCTACTTTTCATTATTTGCCTGCTACTGCAGATATTTCCTTCTCTGTTCCAAATCAGACAACTTCATTAAGTGATGAGTCGTGTAAAAAAAGCTCATTGATGAAGCATGCACAAGTGAATTCCTCTCATCCTAATGTTCCGTATCTCATGAATTCCACTCTTAATTTGAATTATCTGAAAGCGACGAGAGAGTTACTGGATGAAGTTGTTAATGCTCGGAAGGCGTTGATACAAAAAAATGGTAAAAGCTCGGCTTTTGGCAACTCTGGCGGCTTCAGTGAGTGTAAAGATGCTGATTTTGGATCAGAGACCGGTGAGATTCCATTGATGTTTAAGGATGATACTGCTAGTGAAAGGAGGGAGATTTCAGCTTCAGAGAGACAGGAGTTTCAGAGCAAGTTGGCAAAACTCGTGGAGATGGTTGATGAGGTTTGTTTTATTTATTCAAATTTATTAGTTTTGGAATGAAATCAGAACAACTGGGTTGATTTTCAATTAGAATATTTTCTCTCTGTTGAAGAAGAGAGAGCCTCTGGTTTGACAGTGTCAGTTTTTTGTTCCTTTTCAGATTACAGTAATAGGAAACCAGTTTTTTTTGTTTTTTAGGACATTTACTGACTGCTACTGTTGTAGTTGCAGGCTTCATCTCTACAGTCTCTTTTAACTCTGTTTTCACATCTTTCCATGGATTTTTTTTGACAATTAAAGACAATTGCCGACTGCTGCAACTCGCAAAATTGATGTCACTATTAAGAAAACTAGCAATTACTAATATACCCTTTCAATAATATGTTAATGTGATTATATTTAAGTGATTATTACTACAGACATTATGGAAGATATGAAAACATGTTGCTGTCATATAGCATTTATTTTAGAATGTATATATGATCATATTGTTATCAGCCTTTGATGTATTCATGTCATATATCTAACTATAATCATCATTTGATATTTCTAATTTTCCATTCTTCTTCTATTTGCCCGTCTAGGTTGATCGAAAATACAAGCAATATTACCATCAAATGCAGGTGGTCATGTCTTCCTTCGACGTCGTAGCCGGCGTCGGAGCTGCTAAGCCTTCAAACGATATCCCGCCATTTTCGGTGCCTGCGAGATGCTATTACCGCTCAGATACAATCAATACGAAAAATACTAGGAGAGCATGAAAATGGTGATAGCGTCCGACTGTGTCGTCTTCGCTACATCGATCAAGAGCTAAGACAACGGAGGGTCGTGCAGCAGTATGGCATACTACAACCTCATGCTTGGAGGCCACAAAGGGGCTTACCCGAGAACTCAGTCTCGATTCTTCGAGCTTGGTTGTTCGAACACTTCCTACACCCGTAGGCCTCATTCGTCATGCTTCTTTTTTTGTTTGTTTGGGGTTTAGGGTTTACATTTACTGATCCATAACAATTTGCCATGTTCTATCTTCTTCCATCAGATACCCAAAAGATTCGGAGAAGCTAATGCTTGCGCGACAAACCGGTTTAACAAGAAGTCAAGTATGTTGTTGATTTTTTTTTTTTTAAACAAATTTATGAGAAGATTTGCATACATAGCACTCAATTCTTATGTAGTTACATGTCTAACATCCAACTTCAATTTTTGCATACATACCGTGTTAAATATACATGAAATAGTTAAAAAGATTGTATTTTTTTATGTGATGTGAAAGATTTGGGCGGTATAAATGTAAGTCAAACAAAATTTAGATGTTCGATATGTAGATTCCTATGAATTGATTGGTATATATGTAAATGCCCCAAATTTTTACCTCCAACATTCTCACATGTGCGTATAATATATTAGGGATCCTTAATCATGATAATGCTAAAGAGCTCATATCAAGACATAGCACATGCTTTTCTTTTTAGGAAGATTTACATACATACCCCTCAATTCCTATGTATTTACATACCTAACACCTAAACTTCAATTTTTCACTACATTCCACTTACCTATGCATGAAAAGATAAATTTCATTTTTTAAAAGTTATTAAAATGGCATGTTTTTGACGTGATGTGAAAGATTTGGGCTTTTATGTGTTAGCTATGTAAATACAAGTAATTAGTTGGTATGAATGTAAATACCCCTTCCCTTTTTCTTATCTCACGAGCATGTACTCTGAGCAATTCTGCTTAACCAGGTCTCAAATTGGTTCATAAACGCGCGAGTTCGCCTCTGGAAGCCGATGATCGAAGAAATGCACAAAGAAGAGCTTGGTGATGTCGACGCAGACTCTAAATCATCCCCTGAAAAGCTACAGAAACTTCAAGACGATGCGAGATGTTCCGCCGACAAAGACGAAGACCCTCAAAGTTCCGATGCTGAAAATTTCAGACTGAGCCATTCCGACGAACCTTCAAAATCCAATCCGATTAATGATCTCGACACCTGCGGTTCCGATGCTCATTTCGATCACAAATCAAGGGACGAGAAATCGATCGGAGAAGAAAGTAACCTAATGCAGACCAACCTGAGCAATCCCGACGATGTAAGCGGGAGAATCATGGCGTATCAGATGGCCGAATTAGGTCAATATGGAACCGGGGCGGTGTCTCTAACCCTCGGGCTTCCTCACTGGGGCTCGAATCTCCCCGCATCAAACGGTCAGCATAGCTTCGTGTCGGTGCGAGGGGCCGATGTTGGCCGATACGATCTCGCGAACATTGGAGCTCGCCACCATGGCTCCGGATCTCTGCATTTCATGCAAGATTTTGCGCCTTGATGAACACGATACAGCAGTTCACTTATTCCCAAACCTGCATTGCAGTATTGTTAGTATAGACATTTGAAGATAAAAATGTAAAAAAAAAAAAAAAAGAATTGTTTAGGATTTATAGGTGTGCGCGTGTGGTTGTGTAATATGTAGAGAGAAAAAGGGGTGTGTATGTAATTAGTGCCATTTATTGTCCTCCAACTGTAAAATGTTTGTGGATGAGATGGGTATAGGCATTGTAGGATTGAATAATGTTCCCAAGGCTTGTAAATAAACCATGGGAGCCCTTTTGTGTGAGATTCTGAAGAACCATTACAAACCATGGCATGGATTTGGCATATTTTGTTGTTTTATGATTATATGATTTTAAGCATTGAAGAAAATATGATATTGTTTTGGAGAATGTTTACATGCATGTCACTTTTATCGTGTATTTCATTTTTTAAAAGTTAAAATGATGATGTTTTTGATATGATATGAGAGACTTAGGGCGAAAATCTAAAAAAGTAAAGTTTGGGTGGTAGATGTCAATGCAAAGGATTTGGGTGTATGTATGTAAATGTTGTCAAATAGCAATTTTTGTAGGCCATTTCGTAGCATCTTTAACAACTTTTATGGGAGATTCGTCATAATAAGTGAAGTGGAGAGATACATTTGAAAATGAGAAGCAAATGTAAAAAGAAAAATTAGGGATGAGCATTAGGTCGTTTATGTTGGATCAGTTTGTAAATTGGTCAAAGTGATTGTAGCCTGGATCTAATCAAAATATTGATAAAATCATACAAAACAAAGCAATGTTTAATTTTTGTTTAAACGATTTGGTCTTGAATAAATTGAAATTTAATTATTTGATGGAGTTTAATGGTGAGTAGACAATATCGATTACATATTTTTGATATTTCATCAACAAATTTTATTATTTGGCAGGAACCTCATTGTGTTGCATGAATCTTAAAATATTTTTTAAGCATACAATTATTAAATCGGAAGTAAAATATATCTAGAACTCCCATTTTAGTAAAGGTACAGTTAAATTTGACCGACTCGACAAGACGGACCCAATAACACCTGAATTGATCCAATTTGAGTCAAATCAAGCCCGAATCAAAAGATTAAATCATTTTTTTAAAGCTTTTGGTAGTCAATTTGAAGGTTAAAACATACTCTATATATGACAAGTTTATAATCAAATCGAGTGTCCCGAAGAAACGAGTCCAATGAGTCTAATTTCACTCAATTATGACATCATTAAGACACTCAAATGTCCATAAACTATTATCTGATTGAGGGAACCCCTTTAGGTCATTTGATGAAGTGGTTTGAATTCCTTATTTATATGTGAGGAGGTCTCTTCTAGACTCTACAAATAAAGTCCTACCCTCTTCACGAAAGGCGATTTAGACTTTGAACCGGGGACTTGATGAAGACATAGAGCTAAATTTGAACGGGAGGAGTAATTATAGTGTGATTTTGGAACAAAGGCGCGACAAACATTTCTCACTCTCGTAGTAACAGACCGCCGTCAATCACCACTTCTTAATCATCGATGACTATCATAAACCACCCCCTACAGTTTGTCATGTAGCCCCTAGCAGAGTCATGATGTATGTTGTGAAGTAACGAATCACTGTGCAGAGTAATGAATAACAAAGCACCCTACAAAATAGTGCATCATCATGAATCTGGTGCAATGAAACACTACAAATATGGTGAAACGATGCACACGGAAGAAGTGAATACGATGTAATGATGCACACACCTCAAATACGATGTAATGACGCATCCCGAAAATGATGTAACGACATGTCTTGAGTACGAAGTAACTCCTCGTAATAACTGCTTGTAATTTTTGTACTCAAAATACGTTGACCTTCTCCTAACTCTTGAAGTTCCCTCCTCACAACTCTCCACTTTGAGTTAAATGACCAACTATGGCCTAGGTGGTCCGCAACTCATACATCTCCCAACTTTAGCATGTATGACTTACAAACGTTATTATAACTACCCGTTATGACCTACATGACCAACTACGACCTAAGTGATCCACAACTCATGTTCCTCATAACTCCATCCTTTGTGGTTTATGGACGTTATTATAGCTCCGCATTAGGACATCATGATCAACTATGGCCAACGTGGTTCACATCTCATGCAACTCTCAACTCCAACTTCTGCGGCCTATATACATTATTATAATTTTTCACTATGGTCTACATGATCCATAACTCATACAGAGCTCAACTCGAGTCTCTGTGGCATAAGACATTATTTTTACTCACCACTACGACCAATGTGATCAATTACGGCTTACATAGTTCATAGCACATGTAGCTCCCAACTCTGATATTTGTGTCTTACATACATTATTGCAGGTTATTACTACGACCTAAATGAGCAATTATGACTTGCATCATCCACATCTTACACAGCTTTCATCTCTGACCCCCAAGCCTAAGAAAATTATTATAGTTTGTCACTATGATCTAAATGACCAATTATGCCCTATTTGGTCCATAGATCACATAGTTCCCAACTCTTAACCTTTTATGGCCTACAGATGATATTATAGCTCCACATTATAGTTTACTTAATTAAATATGACATATGTGATTCACAACTCATGCACCTCCCAACTACGACCTATGTAACTTGTGAAAGTTATTACAACTTATCATTACGACTTACGTGACGAATTACAACTCCGTGGCCCACAACTCATACACTCTCTCAAATCTGGCTTTTGTAGCACGCATATGTTATTGCAACACACCATGATGACCTTCATGACCAACTATAGCCTACATGGTCCACAATTCATTCAACTCACCAACTTTGACCTCCATGACTTACAGACGTTATTATAACTAACCACTATGACCTACGTGACCAACTACAACACATGATCCATAGGTCACACAACTTCCAACTCAGGCATCTATGACCTATGAACGTTATTATATCTCACTACCACGAGCTATGTGACCAACTACAACATATGTGGCCAAAAACCCACACAAATTTCAACTCTAGCCTTTATGTTCTACAGACATTATTACCACTCCCTATTACGACCTACGTGACAAACTATGACTTATGTGGTACATATCTCATGCAGCTCTCAACTCTAACTTCTGTAGCCTAAAGACTTTACTACAGCTCACACAACGGCCTATGTGACAAACTATAACTCACATGGTTCACAACCCATACACCTCCCAACTCTGGCTAGCCTTAATGGCCCATAAACGTTATCGTAACTCCCTACTACGACCTATGTTACCAACTACAACCTATGTGATTCATAGCTCTAGCAACTTTCTGCTTCGATATTTATAGTCAATCAATGTTCCTTAAGCAACCATTTACGACCTACGACCTACGACCATAGCTTTCAACTACGAGTATCTGACACTACAATCACTGTCAGTAACATCCATGATGAGCTACTGCCTTCATAACAACCGACTATGACCTTAGCGACTCATTACAGAAGTTATTAATAAAACTACCATTGTACGTTAACATTTATTTCCATTTTCTTAATTCAAATAGTGGGTCTCTACACTTACAATTACATTGTGAATGATTTCATGGGGCTATGCCCCATATTTTTTTCTTTCTAGGGTTTTCTAAGTAAAAAGTCTTCGTGCCTTATTTTGCTTACTCCTTTTTTATCAATGTGAGAACTAGATTTTCGTCAAACCCTAAGAAGTTTAATTAATACTTTACCACCATTAATCTTCCGACACATAACAATCTTAAATATATAATTTTAATTTAATTTATTAAATCTTTCATTTTGTTTCAAAACAAATATTGTGTGTGCGAAAAATTTTGATTATTTTTTTCATCAAATGAAAATTCACGAAGAACTACACACATACCACTAAATACTTATGCATTTACATATCCAACACCTAAACTTCAATTTTTACATTAATTCCACATTACCTATACATAAAATGGTGTATTTAATTTTCTTAAAGGTTGAAAGGGATATTAATTAAAATTTATTTTTCTGATTTATTCGATTAAATGAAAATTCAAATTTAACAAATAACCAAAAATCGAGTACTGAAATTTTAATCAAACGCAGCACAAAACCTCATCTCCTGCTAGAGCGTTAAACCCTAGCTGAAAAGGAGGCACCGTACAAGATGGAAGCCCCGAAGCCATAGACGGAGCGTCGGTGGAGGGGATCAAGAGCTCAAATGGTGAACAAAAGCCAGTTTTAAGCGAGCGGACGGATCGAACTCGGAAGGATCCCGACCACGAAAGTCAGAGATGATGGAGTTCACGAACGCGGGCTTGTAGAAGCAACATTGCTTGCACAACCTCGATGTAACTAATAATGACTCTCTATCAAATTTTCACTTCCTAAACTATTTCTCCACTCATTCCTACTCAGTTATGTTTGAGATGTCAATTATAATTTCTGCAAGCTTTTTTTGCACAAAACTGAGTCATGCTATCTTTGATCTGACTTTTTTTCTCGCTATTCCTTTCACATTGATTGTGTCCACTCGCTTAGTATGCCTATCCAGATCTATTATGCCTGTGACGAAACAATTTTAGTCAATTTTATTTTCTTTGATTCGCTGGTTAGGTGCTACTCTTCCAGGTGGTTGCCCTGATCATCTCAGATATGATCATTTGTATTCAATCCTTTTTAGTTTCACTACATTTACATCATAAGTTTCTTATATTTTTTATCACACCCATTTTTTTTTTAATTAGCTTTTATGTTCTTCTACACTCAGATGAATATAAAATGGCCGATAGTTAGCCAAATTTTGATAAATAAAATTTACTTTACTTTCATGTCGATAGGAAACTTCTCATTGCTTGACACTTCATGAGGAATTTATGTATTTTGATCACCCAAAATGAATTATTGAGGCTACGTTCTCATCAATATACAAATTCTTAGGTACAATAGTGTAATAAACACTCCTGAATTGACCTACAATCTATCGAAGTCATACTTGAACAATAGTTGCGCTGAAATCTTTATGCTTCTTAATTTAGTTGTAATACATGTTGGATCCATATGATAGTTATGTGAAACATGGCAAGTTATTATTAACTAAATGAAGGAAATTGATTAGCATGAAAAATTATTGTTGTTAGGAAATTGTTGAATCCAAGAGTGTCCGGGAAACACAACCAAGATATAGAACGTCTTGCAGAGAAAATAAGAGAGTATAGTTTAGAATAGCAAG